ACCGGCTTTCGGGCAACCTGACCGCCAACAATTCGCTGCACTTTCTTCTTGTTGAGATTGTCGCCTTCATTGAGGCGGATCTCAATAGTGCTGATTGGGGACATGGCTGCAGGGGAAGGGAGAGGCGTTCTGGCGAGCTCATCGTCTCCTTCGTTGTTGACTTGCACTCCAACCTTGCCTCGACCTTTCGCGTTTTCGAAAGAGTTCTTTGATTGCAGACGATCCCAAGCATGGGAAACTTTGGCAAACATCCTAGATGAAACCATGCGTGTGAGCTTAGACGCAGAGGAATTAGCCACCTGAGGAGTTGCAGGCTTCAAGGCGTCGGTAGCAGCCAGCATAGCATGTAGCTTCTGGTTGATTTCTTCAGGGTCGGCAGGCTCGACAGCGCCAGCGCCAGCTGAGGCCCCAAGGCCTACTGCCCTTCTGCACCTCACGTTTCCATCCAAATCTCTGAGAGGAACAGAGGTTGACGCCTGCAGGCCAGCCGTCGGATGGGACTTGAGGGGGTCAAGGCAGAGCGTTTTAGACTGGGGGAGAGGTCGTTGCAAACCAGACTCCTTTCGTTTCTGGTTCGAGTCTGCTCGCGATCGGGTACTGGTATTCTGTCTCGGCGCTCTTCCTGAGCTCTTTGGAGAATACTTCTCAACTCGAGCTGGTCGAACGCGAACGTCAGGGGATGTGGTGACCTTTTCCAGACGAGGCGAAACCTTTCGGGGTGATGTTGTCGGGAGGACTCTAGACTCGATGGTGGTCTTGTATACCCTCGTTGGTACCGGCGACAGTTCTTCATTGAAATCCTCTCCAGGGAATCTGTTGCCATGCTTATCCCGTAGAGTCGGAGTAGAGTCGTCCAACAGACGGCTAGCCATCTCATCGATGCTGCTTGCGTAGCGGCTGTGCCTCTTCCGAGGCGGTCGCTTCGGTCCCTCGCTAGAGACAGAGGCGGTAACTGTGGCAGGCTCTGCGTCTTCTGTTGAGGTCAGTATGCTTCTTCTGGAGTTTGGGGCTGGGTAGGACCTTGTTTCTTGCTTGGAGCATGGAGGGACTCCACCAAGTGCTTCTGACGACGACGGGAGCCCAGCGATCTAAGCAAGCTCCTCTTCTTCCCATAAGTGACGGTGGTCGACGCCATTTTCGGCACCGAGATGACTGCAAAACGAGTGACAAAAAGAGTGAAAAAAACGAGTGGACGGGAAGAAGTTCGTTGTTGGGGAGATCTTGGCTGTGACGGGAGAAATGGCTGGGGGTGGGCTCAGTTGGTGCAGTGAATCAGACAATGAGCGAGCAAGCCTCGATGCGAGGGAAAGAGGCTTGTCACAAACGACCGCCAGGGTCGTATAGATGATCTGAATAGAAAGGAAGGAGTTTCTTTGATTGCAGACTCATCAGTGAGGATCCAGCTCCCAGCGGAGGGAGATATCGGGGTACGTGAATGGGCTTCAGAGGGGTGAGAGAAAAGTGATTCAGGAGAGGTGGCGGCGAAAAGGTGTGGTGATGAGAATAGAAGGAGCTTACAATGGGTCACGATGATTTGGAGTGGTTTCCAAATCCGGCAGCGTATTGGTGTGCGATGTCGGAGGAAGCTGCTGCTGTCGACAGCTGCCGAGTGGAAGGAGCAGGAGTGCCCAACTGCGGGATTGGCTGGCTTCGATGGCCTCGAGCTCTAAGGTGCTCCGAAGTGCGCACCGGGCACGTTGGGAAAAGCAGGAGGCCTGGGTGGTTCGAGAAAATGCTTTCCTTTGGATCGAGCAGACGGGTTTGATGAAGACTGTGATTCTCGAAATACCGGGACTCGGTGGTTGTCTCGTGGTGGGAACTAAATAGAAAGGACACCGCGCTGAGAACAGAGCTTGGGAGGTCCTCGATAATTATCATAGCAAAGACATTGCTCCAGCTCCTGCAGCCAGAAGTTTGACAGCTCGTTATCAAAGGAAATGCATAAAGAGAAGCAAGTTCCCGTAGACCGCCTGGGATCTTACTTATCCGGACAATGTTGCGTGAAGCACACACTGCTGTCGTCCCACCTCAGATCCTGTCTCCGCCCAGTGCTGTAGCAACTGTCTGTCGTCGTGCAGCTACGCAAATACTGGACTGGGAGGTGCCGCTGCTCGTCGCACGGCTGGCCATGTTTGAGATTCGGCCACTTCTCTTGGGGTCTCGGTTGGTTGTCTCTCGGGTTCCATCCATTCAGCCAAGCCGCGAAGCCTTCGGCAGCTGGCGGCGGAATCGAACCGGTTAGACAAGAGCAATTCTAGGGTTTCAGTCTCGGATAGTTCCGATGGTCGGTACGTCGAGGAGGAGATCAGATTGGAGACATCGGTGTCCATCATTGCGTCGTCACCCTCACGTTTGACACTAAGAAATGCGCTTTGGCGTCTGCAAGAAACGAGGGATCTTCGTGTTTTCTACTCATCAGTGGGCTTCTTCTTTGCTGGCCTGAGAGATCGCGTTCAGTTCTTGCCGTTCAAAGCCGTCTAAGTTCCCACAAAGGAGGCACGCCATGACTACCGGTGTGAGCAACCGCTGGAAGCAGGCAAATCGTACGAGCAACGAAGACATCGGGTTGAGAAGTAAATTGCCACACCACTCATCTCAACTTCTCGCCATTTGGAACAGAACCGGCGACATGCCTGACGCCCCCCGGATGGCTTGCCTTCCCGAGACTCCTCGTTGATCTAGTCACGGCAGTCATGGTGCACACTCACTTCGCCGAAAGAGTCTGTCCGGGATGCCATGGCCAATGGTGATTCGGCCAATCTCGAGACCAAGGACAATTTCGAGACCGCCTACTCCTTTCGGGCATGTTGTTTCTGATGAGAGCAACGAGGACAATCTGGCCATTCACCTGGTCCCCAAAGTGGCCAACTAGTCGAAAACAAGGGGATCAAGAAGCCAGCAGGGGCTTCCCAATTTGAATCAATGTCTCGTTTTTGTGTGCCCAAAGGCTACCCATTTCGAATTCGTGCATCATGAGAAGACATTCGCAGCTGGTTGAACGTCGTCTCGCAGGCCGGCACGTGATGTCGCACACGGGGAGCGACATCGAAACGTATGTGTGGCGCAGCGCAGTCAAGCCCCGGAAGTCCGTCCCTCTGTGGCGCGTTTTTACATCATAGCCCTTCCTAAAATTCCCTTCTTGTAGTTATCGCGCAAGGAGTACCATTTCCCGGACGACAAGCGGCATAGCACCTCGTTGTAATTTTCTCTGTGTTGATACTCTTTGGGTGGTTTTTTTGGTTGCCGCATTCCTCCCTCACGATTCCTCACGGTCGACACGATCTCCGAGTACTCCGGTAACTCTTCGCCTCTCGATTACCGAAACCCGCTCCGAACTTCTAGAACTCGCGAGGCGGTTCAATCCAGACCGATCACGCTTACGAGAGTACCCCTGGAATATCACGGCGCTCCTGTAGACATCTAGACTCACGTCTGACTATCAAGGACACCGGTTCCGTCGAGAATCATGTTGCGACAATCCGTCCGAGGCGTGGGGCTTCCCCTCAGGGCGTTCGGTCAGCCAACCCAGCAGGCGGCATGGAACGGCGCTTGGAGAAGAATGTTCACCTCTCAGACGAAAAGCCGAGTATCGTCTGAGTTGTGGCGGTGGAAGACAGCCCCTTGGCAGGGTCTGCTGGCGAAGATCCGCCCGAAGACGTTCACAACCCCGGGTACACTTCAAGGTGCACTGAGGCGCGGGTTCCGATTCTCTTCCCGGCGGAGGACAGACAAGGGGCCGACAGTCAAGGAGGTTGCACCACCGACAGGATTGAAGGCACGCCTCAAGAAGCTCATCAAGGATTATGGCTGGGTTACGCTCGGTGTCTACATCGGCTTGACGATTCTAGATTTCCCCTTCTGCTTCCTATTCGTCAGGGCAGTCGGCACGGAGGCGATTGGTGAGTTGGTTCGGATCTATCGATTGGGTTCTCCCTGGCTAATGCAAGTTGATCGGATTGTTAGGCAGAGTTGAGCACACTGTCACAACCACTGTCAAAGATATGATTCCTGAGTCCGTAAAGGAAGCCTGGCGTTCGCTTTGGTTGTCCTTCAAGAAGGCCGAGTCGAAGGCGTTTGGCGACGGTGACATCAGTGATACTATGGAGATGGCCACCTGGGGAGTTGAGAAGGCTGAGAAGCAAAACCACAATGCTGCCAGTAAGTTATCACCTAGTCGTCAGCTCCAAAACAAGCCGCATTGGAATATAACTAACACTCATAGGTCTCGCAACTCAACTGGCATTCGCCTACGCCATCCACAAGAGCTTTATCTTCCTTCGAGTTCCCCTAACAGCCTGGCTTACCCCCAAGGTTGCCAAACTCCTCCAGTCGTGGGGCTGGAAGATCGGCAAGAAGACGACCTAAAAGTCGACTATAACTAGATTCACGGACCATGCTGCGAGAGCTGATACCTTTCCGCTCCACGCATCCTACGACCGCTTAGGCTAACACACTCACAACCATTCCGCTTAGACCTGTTGTACCACTGAAGATATGTACCAACAACACAAGACGTGTAGACTTAGTTGTCTTGTGATAATTTGTTTCAATAAATGCCCGACTGATGACTATGTGCCGCTGTTTGATTGTGCATGGCTCGGCACGTGTGTATTACTAGACACAAGGGGTATAAACGAACTGAACACAAGTCTCTGTCTAGAATTAACGACAAGATACTTGCGAAAGGTACACTTGCTTGATTGACATCGGAATTAAGCTTCTTTTCCTACCATTTACAATGACATGCAATTTGATAGATTTGGCATGCTTGCGAAACGACGTTGTCACCCATGGATGTAGTAGTCCCGGCAGTCTTAACGTATTCGATCTTCCCATCAAGCTCAGGAGCTGACAAGCCACCATTCAATTCCTCATTCGTGCGGGTCTTGGTTGATTTGAGTAGAGCAAAATATAGAATACCCCACAGTGGACAGACATCAGTCCTCGTGCAGGCAAAAAGATGAGCGGAGGTGACAAGACAACTCTCGATCACGACCTCTTGAGGAACACCCGACTCGAACGGATAACCTTCAGGTCGTTCCATGACTGGAATCTGACGCGCTACCAATTGCGCCAGCTCCCCAAGTGGATTGATGAATAAAGTCGAAGCACATGAGGCATATGTAGGCACGGGTGGATATGCCCCGTCGCGAGCTACAAGCCCAGCAAGATGCGGGGGCGGAGTCATCGAATGACCGGGAAAATTTGTTCCGCTGCTTCATGCAGTGTCAGAAAACGTACGATGGCTTTTATGTTGTTCGGAACGAGACTAAGGTGAGGGGGTTCGAGTTAGGTGTTGGTTTCTAAGACACGAGCTATTTGGCAGCGAGGGAGAAAACATGTGAGAGTTGTCGAAGAGGTGATCCGCCCCCATCCTTTTTCATTAGATGACATGTGTATTTTCTACTGGTTTCAATGAGGTAGTCATCAAATGCATGGCTGCTTGTATTACTGACGTCCCGCGCGTAAGGGTGTGGTTGTGGTCGAAGCTGTCACTTGCTACAGGGTACTCAAGGTAACAATTGTAATTATTATCGAACTTTAACTCTCGAATACCACCAAAACAGTGGGTAAAAGTGATCCCTAGTGAAAGGAGGCTCAAAGTCAACATGCCCTGGAGGTAAGGAAGTTCGATTTCCCACCAATCTGGCTGCAGTCATAGCCTAAAAGATAGGGACGGAAGTATTGAGAGAACTGCCAATAAAGCCCACACCATTCCGCGCAAATTACGACTTAGCATGCCAAAAAAAAGAGATTCCGGACTGAATTGGTCCCCAGGAAAGTACTAGAGAAAGCACAAAAGAACATCCCAGTATATAGGTACTGTATCGATAGTGATTTATATACATAATCGAGACATCGAGAGACTCAATAGTGTTCCTCCTCCTGGAAACCATCGACTTCAGAGACTTGGATCTTCCAGCTTTAAAGAAAATCCTCGAACTGTCTTCGAGGATTAGCTAGGGTGTATAATTTAGCCATTGAGTTCTGACGATGCCTACTATGAACCCATCGGCGCACATATAAGTGTCCAGTTCATGAGAGAAAGCCTTGATGAGTGGTTTAAAAGATGCTGGACACTTAAACTCTGACCGGCCTGGATTGGTCCTACCACACGGATTGAACCCCTTCCGGGTTGTGTCCGTCTTAGGTTCACCCCGCAAGCTTTAAACTCAGATTCAGGTTCACCTACCGCGCGAGAGATGTCGGCCCTTGATCTGAATACCGACGGTCCTTGTCGGTGACAACGTTACGTGGCCTGTCTATCACGAACCAAAAAAAAAACCTCGCAATTCATGCACAATCGGGCAGTCACTCCCGCCGAGTTTGACTTTGCCAGGGCCATCGCAATGAGTCGGGTTGGCGATGTGTCGTCGCTGATTCATTGTTTTACTTTGTCGCTAACGCAGTTGGTGCACCGAGACCCCGGCCAATCAGTCTCGTCTCCTGATATTGACTTTCTGGCCTATTGTTGTCTTGCCTTAGCAGCGCGCACAAGGTTCTTCATTGTTTGCTTAGTGGGAAGAGGTCGATGAGTCAAGTTGCCTCCTCGGGAGCGGGAGAGCCAATACGTTACCAACAACCAGGGAGACGGCTTTCATCATGGTTCCCATCCGGAAAACCATGTGGGCCATCCCACCCTTCCGCGGAGTTCTAGAAGGAGAGGAGCAGCCGCACACGCGGCTTCCCGCGCCCGAGCCATACGTATTGGGGCTTTTATTTCGGCGCACCCGCCAGGTGAAGCATGAAACTATAAGGAACCCTCTCCTCCGTGTTGACTTTCACGATTAGGGTTTTCCCTGAGGGGAAGAAGGGCTAGAAACCCACATTTTCTTTCTAGACTCGCCTCAATTGTCGTCATTGTGCCGATACCATCATGTAAGAGGACGGCCCGGTTTGAGGTCTCAAACCTAACCCTCGGACCGATCTGCCATGACACAGAGGTGACGAAAAAGCAATGCGTTTGATGGGCCTGTCTGTTGGTTGACAGCTTGGCGCCATGGCCTGCTGACATGGTCCACCGACATGGTTGGCTGGCAGGGCAGGGTAAGGGATACTCCAAACTTCGTTTCTGCAGAATATCCTGGGATTTTCGAGGGCTCGACCGCGTTTGACACCGAAGGTCTTTGAACCTAACTGACTCTTCCATGCCCACCATCTGGCATTGAATCGCTGCAAGAATTCCCACATCTGACCTCGTGTTGTCTCGTGCGCATTGGACAGATTTGAGCCCTTTGCCGATGCTTGAACGAAGCTTATTCCATCTTGTTTTAGATCCAACAACTTTTGACGTTGACAGCGAGTAGGGGCATGTAACGCTGAGGGACTTTCCCGACGCTTGATGATGCAAGAGGCGTGTGAATAGCCCGTCTTGTCTTGATGGTGAACACCTCCCACAACAGACTTCCCCATCGTTCTTGAGGCCCAACGGAACAACTTGGTGAACTTCTAGCTTGCGGCTTGCCAGCACAAGTGGGCAAATCCCGCCTGGAGATGTTTCCGATGTGGAGATGTCTCCACGAGAATGCCACGAGCAGAGGCCCACCGTTCCAACCTTCCCATCACCCGCGAGCAATGCCACGCATGCAGCAGTCAGCCGTCAGCCTCAAGAGACCGGCCTTGACACTAACCAAGACCTAGCGATATCCTACGAACAGGCCACGGTTCGTAATTCCGCCATGGATCATGTCCTGGTCTCGTCTCTTGACTCACAAAATGCGCACGCCCTGACCCGCAGTTCGTGTTTTGTCGGCGGGTTCCTGAAGGACGCCGTGATTGGGATTTACTCGGATCCAGGCAAACGTCAACTGTCATGAGTTTTGACTCCCGAAGCTTGCTCGGAGTCTGATTTCCTAAATAGGAAAGAGTCCTCGGACTAGGGCTCGTCGCTAATCGGGCCTAACCGCGGTGATAGTTCTCAAGTCGCCGGCTCACCGTCGAAGCGTGAAACAAAATTCCTGGGAAAACATGGCCAAGTTGCACTCGTAATGGGGAAATTGAAGAAACGGGTAGCAAGTGGGTTAGGCGAATGGGTTTCAGGAACTTCGTAATCGACCTGCGGCGAGGTGATTAGTATTTCGGGGACGTTGGCGTGGATTGTCGTCTTACCAAGAGATGCGTAAGACAGACACCAACTAATACGGGGAAAGGAACCACTAATAGATGCGCGAGAACGGGACATGGTAAGGTTGTCGTAAACTCACACACGAGAGAGCTGCGAGTCAGATATTACGATACGGGCTGTGCTGATATCCGAATCTTGAGTCGCCAGTTGGAGAACTTGGAAGGGTAAGCGAGAGGTGAAGGGATCTACCTTGTCAAAAGGGGAAAACTTTAAATCCTCCGTCATCTTAAGAGTGAATCCTCACCCAGCTCTTCGGATGAGGTGAGAGAGTGGTCCGGGTGACGTATAAATGAACACATCGGGCAATTGATCATTGCCCAGGGCCAACAGCTAAAAGCACATTACGCAGTCAAGGTGGTAATACGACATGGTAAGTGACGACAAGCTGTGCGTGTTGGCCGTGAGCTTTGTACGAATCGTATAGTCTAGGTTTTGTTTTTGCACCGTTGGCCAACTTGACACATGCATGCACCTAGTCATTCCCCTTGCTCGCGTGAGAGCGCTGGAACCAATCAATGCGCAGTTGTTCTGAGTGTCCCATTAACTCGGCGGTGGTTATCCGTACGCTGCATAGAGAGACGGAGATGAGAGATTAGGCTGATACTACGGCCGGCGCAGCACGGACGACGTATCACTTTACCTAAATCTGGGGAGCGCTGATCCGTCCTTCGCATGAAAGGGCGGTTTCCGCGCCGGGAATAACGGGTTTATCGGCTCAAGTTCACGGACGGCTATGACGACAACTGACAGCGACGGATGACGAGTTTGACGGAGGCCGCATGTGCCATATCCGTGCTGTATCTCCGCGACTCCGCGACTCCGTCGGGTGGATTCCCCAGCGCGGAAGCACAAGCACTGATCGGAAGTCATCACGGAGGTAACGGAAGACGTTCAGACGTTCAGACACAACGAGTGGACCTTTATTCACATCGAGTGAGGCGGGTGCCAAAATTAAACAACGGGACAATGACTCGAACAAGGCCATATAGACGAGCGGGTCCGCAGCGGTGGGCAAAGCGACGACGACGACGACTGTAACATGAGACAAGAGCGGGATTCGTCGTGGCCGTTGATTCCGCGATCGCTTGTCAAGACTACAATGGGGACAAGCGAACGGATTTGCTCCGTACTTGCCTCGTACAGTCCTGCCACAATAGGTAGGCGAGTGGACCGGCGGCCGACAGGCAGGCTGCAACTTTGCCAGCAAATCCATCAAAACATGATGGATGCCTAGATAATCAGGTAATCAAGCACAGGCAGGCTCGCGGCATCTAGCAGGCCGAAAAGGCAGGCTTGGCACAGGGAGGAAGGAGGGAAGGAGCGAGGGGAGTGGGCGGGTGGGATTAGAGTTTGCGTGAAGCAGCGGTGGACAGCCCGTTTGGAGCGTCGTGGAAATTGCAAAAAAAAAGGCCGGTCTTCAGGCGGCGGAGGCGGGTGACCATGTGGAAGCCCACCAGCCGGAAGGAAAAGTGGCCAGCGCGGGCGCGGGCGCGGGCAAACGGGCAAACGGGCAGCAGCCGGCGCAAGCACAAGCACAAAAAAAGGGAGCGCGCCAATGCCGTGACGCGAGTCGGAAGCGAAAGTGAAGTGAAGCACAAGAGTTGCAGAGAGAGAGGGGGGGGAGGAGGAGGAGGCGGGGGGGGTCTGGCTGGCTGTGTACGAAGTACGCGGGTTTCGCAAGCTGTGTGTGCCCGTGGCCTGTCGATGTCCTGTTGATTACTTATTCTTCAACCACGGCTGGAGATTATCACGCTGCGCTCGTCCGTCCACAAAGGATTTCGGACGAGAAACCCATGCTCCGAGGGTAACATGGACGGAGGAAGCCCCATAATTCCGGGGCCACTGACTGCCCTCCGCCTTCCGGGCCCCGGCCGCCGGCAATGCAGCGACGGCTGCAAGTGCGCAGGGCTAAAAGTGCGACAGTACTGTAGTACATAGTATTCGTACCTACGTTTTGG